GTGTTCATAGAGACCAGTCTCTTCATTAACTTTACACTCTCATAGGTGAGTACGTTTTTTGTAACATTTACTTAGGCTCATTTGAGATTGCTCTCATCTTTCACATTAGCCTCTTATCATGTTGTCACCACATTCATTAGCTTTAGAACATTTGCTCTTCATAATTACTCATCCTTTTTTTTCGTGAATGTTCATTTCATCATATGCCAATGCACTTGGCCATTTAGTGTGTTTCACACTCTTACTTAACTCTTCTAGGGTTTCGTCATTTCGTTACATACATCTTAAATTCACTTACTTTTAAATGTATGCTAGACTTATGGGTCTATACACACAAGCCATAAGGCTTCATTCATAGATCGTTTAAGTGATTCATATCTTCCTAAGATTATGTGGTACAAGACTTATGCATCTTGAAGTATATCAAGATCTCGATTTCTATCTAGGTAGGCAACATTATTTTTGAACATTTTTTTCACGTATGACTTATGTATCAATACGAAATTTTGGCAAGGGAACCCAATTTTGAATCCCTTGGACAACACTTATACTTTTATTTATTTTGGTTTGATCCAGATAGCTTGGGGACCCAAGATCGAGCCCCAAGGCCTTTATTTCATTTTTCCTTGATTTTTCCCTTTATTTTTTTTATTCATTGGGACTTAAAGGATGTGGGATCGAACCCCCACAACCTCATTTTCTTTTTATTTCCTTCTCTTTAATTTCTCTCCTCTTGGCTGAGGGGGTGTAGGTTCGAACTCCCACAACCCCACTTTATTTTTTCTCCTTAATTTGCCTGGGTTCTGCCTAGGGGTCGTGGGTTCGATTCCCACACACCTCAACCTTTTATTTTTATTTTTATTCTTCCTTAAATCTGATTGAGAGGTGGTGGGTTCAAACCCCACTCCTCTCATTTTTTTTCATTTTCGGATTAAGGCACATGGGTTCGAATCCCACATGTCACATTCCTTTTTTCTCACATTATTTCAATGATTTTTAACATGGTGATGTCACGAGTTTGATTCTCAGTGGCCTCACATATTTTAATTCATTTTTACATAGAATGATAATCCCCTTAGCTTGGCCGAAACTCATCAACAAGATGCTCGAAATTTTTACAGCATAGTTTCTCACCTCTTTCACATTAAATAAATTTTTACAGCATAGTTTCTCACCTCTTTCACATTAAATGTTTAGACGTTTTAAGTAGCTTTTAGTGAGTTCTTTAGGTGAATTTACATGGATTCATTTGACTATTAGTTTGCACTCAAATCAGCATTTTTACATCACTTATGAACATGACGATTTAAGCAAGTTCGTGCACATGAAATACAACCATAAACATGTCATTTTTCGAACTTGAATCCAGGAATGTATATCACGGCTTCACATTGCACGTACACACATCATTTTCACTTAATTTCGGACAATATGCTCAATATTCACATAATTCTGAACATACATACATAAACATAATCATCACAAAAACACAGTACATACCTAATTTCTACTAGCAAACATACCCAACCTATGATTCGATGGAAGCTAGTTAAAAGGACATGCAATGGGAAACAACCCTAGTTTTCGGAATAGATTCTTCTGAACCTTAGGGGTCTCTTGGAAAAGGGCCAAGAGATAAGAGAACCCATACCTTTTTGCCGTTCAAACCTTGACTTGCTGCCTAAAACTTTCTCCAAAGATCACGTCCAAATCCCCTCAACTTCAACACCAATTCGACGGACAAACCCTCTCTTTGCCTAACGTGTTTGATTAGCGTTTGTTTTCTTATATTTTCACGTGAGTTCTTAAAGTGTGAAGAATTTGGTCAATTTTTTTGTTCTTGTAGTTGTTTAGGCATAGATAACGTGAAAGAGAAGAGAGAATGATCGTGTGTTGAGAGATAGACGTGATAAGAAGAGTTTTCTTAGGATTAGGAGTTTAGTCTAGGACTTAGTCAAATAAGGTTTAGTTAAATGGTAAAAATCAGTTTTCCCTTTTATTTTAAATCAGCCAATAAGTATTAATTAATTAAATTAATTATCAATTTAAATAAAAATAATTTAAATCATTGCTTCCACCTAGGTTCAAACCCGGATGGAGCAAGACTTCACTTCAAAGACAAATTTTTGGCCCTCTCTCTCCAAAATAATCCTCCACATTATTAATTAAATAATTAATTACATATTTAAGGTAATTATGATACTACCCTTATCCTGGAAAAAGACCATACTACCCCTAGACCGTCCAAACTTAAGATTTCCCCCTTTTTAAAATCCGGTAAAGACTCATTCGGGTAGATCTTCATATTCGGGAGCCCTACTTGGATGGACCCAAACTTTCCTAGGTCAACTAACTCCCAAGTTAGTTGTCTTGGCTGTCACAAGGGTTCAGAGGTCTGGTTCTACGCGCATCAATCCGTGTGAACCCGGTCTAATCGTAGGCATTTTTGATACATTAAGCATTATTTAACATAGCCATTTTTAGGGCTGTTACAGTTTGACTCTTGGTACATCTCTTTAGCCTCGTTTGTGTCCGGACATATCTCTTTTAGTTCGGTTTAAGTCTTACCATGTCTCTATCAGCTTGGGTTCGACTCTGAGCACACTTCGATTAGTCAAGATCAAGTCCTAACACTAAGGTTATTCAGGGTTTCAGTTGTAACAGAAATATATATTTTAATAATATTTATCTAGTTAATAATTTTTTTCCTCATCGATCTAGGTTACATGTTAATCCATGTGCCCTGAACTAGTAATATAGAAAATTGATGGAGGTATTGGATGGCTTTGGTTAGTGGGCATTTTTTAATAGTTTATCACAAAAATATTTTAAAATATGTTATATTTTAAAAAATAAAATAAAATGGGTAAAGCATAACTAAGTGGAAAATCGAATTCACCAACAAAATAGAATTTCATATAGGCAATTGAGATTCTAAGATTTCCTTTCAAATACGTTATATATACTTGAAAATTTAGTGTTATTTTTCTATGACTATCCCTTTAAAATAATTGCAACTGATACCTAAAGAGTTGCTATCGCTTCCATTGGTGTTTGGCCATGATAATTTTAAAAAAAAAGTCACTTTGTTTGAAACTTTGGAAATTGGTAATAGTATTTAGATTTTTTAAAAGAATTTAAATATATTTTATTTTATATTCTTAATTTTTAAAACTAGCAAAATAACTTAACTAAACGTTCATAACTTCACTATTATACAAAATGTTTGAACATTAAAAGCAACCATATGAAGTCATGTTTTTATATCTCGTAACATCATTAATGAACCACAAAGATTACAAAGATTATTAATACACAAATAATTAAATAACACTAGTAAGTGATTATTCTTTAATAAAATCTTCCTATATTAATATAATACAAAAATTAAACTACATTACCACTGAAACATTTTAAGTTTGGTTGTTGGGTACAGTAAATGAGGTGGTTTTATAGAAAATAAAAACTTAGAGGCAGTTTTAAAAAATAATGTGATAGTAAAGGGTGTTTTCCGAAATTCCGAATATAACTTCAAGTTATCTTTGCTATTGATGTGACCAAACAAGTATTTCAGAATAAAGCGAATAAATATTTTGAGATAAAGTGAAAAATATCCATGGACAAATAACTGCAACATGAAAATGATAGATTTTATCCAAAAATTCATGAATATATACAATTTCAAGAAATATCTAAAGAAAAAAAAATTATGGTACCTCTTTGAGTAGCATTTATATGGAACAATAAGTGAATTTGTGAACATAAAATTCAGTAATTTTATCCTTAGCTAATATTCTCAAAATCGATTTGCACCTGATAAATAATAGAATTTTCAAAGTCATTGTGAGGATAAATAATATGAGCTTTTAATCACTATAAATAATTAAGAAAATGGCCAAACAACCCTCCCTCCCACCTATAGTCAGATTTTCAACTACATACTCATACTTAACAAGGGTTCAATTACTCTTCTCAATTTTATAAAGTTGAAACCCCTAAATGTTTGCCTCGCAAAGTGGGTGTATTTCATTCTCTAAAGTGAGCAGCCGAAACAATATTTATATTTTGTTTTAAACTCGTCGCGTAGTACCACCATCTCCACTGAATACATTATTATAAATTTCTAACAATTCTCATGTAAAAAGTTTGAAAAAAAATAATTAAATCCGCCATCTCCATCCATCTCCAATCACAAAAAAAATAATTTGAATAGTATAATCAATCTGGGTTCAAATGAAGTTGAACCCTAAAAAAGAAAAAATATTTTTTACTTGTAGAACCTAATCCCTCATGATTTTTTAAGTTTCTTTTCTAGATTCTCCGACAAGCAATTACCTTCTCTTGATTGTAAAAAAACTTCCATCACACAGACTTATTGTGGCAATATTCACAAACATTAATCAGAGTCTCTAAGCATTTTTTCTCTTTTGGTGGTAGGCTTAAATTAGACTCATATAGTGGTCTTGGTGATAGTGTAAATGTTCTCTTTTTCAAGCTTTATTCCTTGAAAGAAGTGTTGGTTAGCTCTCCGAGTAGGTGGAGGATCTAATGGTGAAAGCAGAGAAATGACAAAGACATAGGTGGAGATGGTAATGGAAACAAAATTTTCAGACTATGCTTGTAGCGACGACATATATATCTCTCAAGAGAAGACAAGATAAAGAGACCTCAATTTAACCCCCAATTTTTCTCCAAATCAAATTATCACAAAATAATTAGGGTTGAAAATGAATGAAGAAGATAAAAAAAATTAAAGAAAAGATTAACTAGTGAAATAGACGTGTCAAGCGCGTGTGTTTCACCATAACATATCTAGTTATGGTGTTTTAAGGGACTAATTATTTCATTTTGAAGTACTCATGGGGGGTAATAGAGCCCCGTAAAATATGAATGTGTAATTGAAAATCCAACTATAAATTAAAGCGACTTTTGACCATTTTTTATAAAAATTAAGTGATTTTTGGGCGCAAAAGGGTTATAACCTGTCAAAATAAGAACACTATAGAAAATTCCTTGAAGTTTTATTGATGATCAACTCTGTACAATTACACTATATTCATACAAGCATATTGCTAACTAACTTTACAAGTGGCTATGTCTCATTGTTTTACCTATAACAAACTAAGAGATAAATAAATACAGAAAATAAGTGACAATTAAGTTTCTAGAATGAGGCTTATTATTCCAAAGCCCATACGTTCAGATAAACCCAAAACACATCTGAGGCCTAACTGCAGATACCCTAAGAACATTTCTTTCAAATATGGCAACTCTCATTTATGTGTTCTTTCCTTTGTCTTATCTTGTCTCTTTAATTAGTAGCCATCAGAAGATTGTGTATGAAATCCAACACACACACACCCCTCAAGTTGGAGGGGAGGAGACGCCCAACTTGTGAAGGAGAGAATGACGAGTAGGTCCAGTGAGAGATTCAGTAAACAGATCTGCAAGCTGAGAAGAAGAGCGGACATAAGAGAGTGACTATAGAATTAAATTAGTTGACTTCTTAAAAAATAGAGAATAATAATTGAGAGAATGACTAAAACCTTTAAAATTGAGGGCTGCAGTGAGTTTAGAGTACCATTGTCGAGATGCCTGTTTAAGTCCATAAATGGACTTCTTCAATAAACAAACATGATTAGGAGAAGGAGGAGAAACACCAATAGGAGATTTCATGTAAACTTGCTCATTGAGATCCCTATGTAGAAATGTGTTATTCACTTCTAAATGAAATAAACCCCATCCTCTCTTTACTGCAATGGCCAAAGTACATCAAACAGTGGTCATTTTCAACACTGTTGAAAAAGTCTCATTGTAGTCCACTCTTTCCTTCTGTATATCTCCTCTAATGACTAACCTCACCTTAAATCGCTCAATACTCCCATCTGAATGTTGTTTCACTTTATTAACCCATTTACAAGGCAAATACTTCTTTCCATGAGGTAGAAGAACAATACCCATGTCTTGTTTAACTCAAAAGCAGCTAATTCTTGTCTCGTGGCGTCTTTCCAAGAAGGATCAAGCATTGCCTATTCATAGCTAACAGGTTCATGAATATTAGAGACATAGTTGAGCATACCTGATCAGTGGGGGATACGTTTGTGAAAGAAAAAGACAGGACTAAGGAAACAAAAGGAACTGAAATTGTGAGTTGTAAAGCATTGCAAACATAATCTTTCAGATAGGAAGGAGTCTTGGTATTCATAGAAGACTCCCTGATAAAAGTATCAATAATCAGACTATGATATGGAGAAACAGGAGAAGGACTTCTTGGAGAGTGATTGGGATTGCAATCGTACGAGGAAAAAGGAGTAGGAGTATTACTAGAAACAGGAGGCATTGTATCAGGAACACTTGAAATTACAGATTTAGGTTCAGGATTGAATAAAGAAAAGTAAGAAACAATCTGAGGTGGGAACTGGAAATAATTTGTGAGAAATATGAGACATATCAGATAAATAAGGAAAATATTCCTCATAAAAAATGATATCTCTTGAAACAAAAGTTTTTCTTTTTTTTAAGGTTCATGACTTTGTACCCCTTTTTCCCATAAGGATACCCCAAAAACACACAAGGCAAAGCTCTTGGATCAAACTTTGTTCTATGAGATGATAAATTTGAAACAAATCATAAACAACCAAAGCATTGTTACAATCCGCAAGTACACCCTAGAAGTAAGGGAGACTTTTAGGTCGGAACACTGTGCGCTCGACCTCACGGAGGTCTTACACAAGCCTCTTAGTTGTCCTTCATTACATAAGACATGAAAAATAGTGTGGAATTAAAACTTTTTACGACAATGATAATAAGAAACATCTTTTGTAAAAACTAAGGATTAAGTCTCATCCTCACAAGCCAACTTAAAGACATGACATAATATCATAGGGGCACGACCTTTTACATTAAAAGAAATACTTAAAAGTCTTTACAAATCTCAAAGAAGAACTAAAGAAAACATATGCTATGCCCTCGAATATATAAGGACATACTTAGTCTTGAGAGAGTCGATTCCCAAGCTTGTCTTCCAAAGATTTTCACTCGCTTCCTGTTATTCTTAAAATAACTTGTATTTATAAAGTTAATAAACAGAAACAGAAACAGAAATAAGATGAAGCAGAATATAGAATACAAGAATTAATCCGAGTCCACAGAAACTACTGTGTCCTTAAGAAATTTAATCCCCTCACTGTATCCAAGGTTATGGATTAATTTCTCCCAAGATAAAACGGATTAAACCTGTTAAAGAAATAGCGGTACCTCAAACTTCTTTAACTTCAACGAACTGAAGAACAGCAACAAGTCACACAGACTCAGTCGATCGACACTTTGATTTTATTTGAGAGAAAAATAAATGCAGAGAAAGAAAAAATTTTCAGTGATTAAAAAATCAAAAATTGACTTCCTTTTATAGCCATTTTCAGCAAGGAACATGTTTGTTCAGTGAAATCTGTTCAGACCCATTTTATCCAGAAAGTTGTGTCTTTTGAAAAAAATAATAACTTTTCAAAAAATTGTCTGTTAGGAAAATAACTACTTTTTGGAAAGTAACGACTTTTCGAAAAGTAACGACTTTTCGAAAAGAGTAACAACTTTTCAGAATGTTACCGTTACCTACAAATTTATAAGAAATGACTTTTCATTTGCACTTTGCAAATGACTTTTCATTTTCTCTCCAAAGTAGTTCCCTCACTTTTGATATTTTCTCTTTTCTTTTTCCATTCACACTTGCTAAAACCCAACAATCCCCCACATGAATGGGGAAGGCTATTATTAAAACGTATGCATGAAAAAACATGTGTGTCTTGTAGGTAAAGGTTAATCGCATCTGGATAAGTAGGTTTCCCTTTAAACTTTCCGTGTGAACATATATCGGATATACTCGGTCAATCGGTAGATTTGATATCTTTGAACCGTCGAGCTTTGGTGTATACCTAGACAACATATGTCACACAATCAACCCTTGAACTGTTCTTAGTTCTCATTGTTTTGTTCGTTTCAGCCATGAACACATCTTGGATAGTAAGTGCTTAAAGAACTGGCCTTACCGGATTCTCCTTGAAGCGGCTTACACTTTACACTTACATAGGTGATTTCTAAATAAATGTGTTATCCCATAGATACACCATTTGATATTCCTTGTATCAAACTTAGAAACCATTAAAAAGTCCTTATGTCTTTATCCTAGTTACTAAACATTGTCTCATCATGAGAATGGACCATAAAATAATAATAATATTTTATTTTATTTTTCCTTTGACAATATTGAACCGTCATCAATGACTTTGTTTTATCTCCTTGAACCTAGATCTTGAGATCTCCAGTCTTCTAGGTAGAGTTACCGCCACGATGACTTGTTCTCGGCCATAGTCCCATTTCCGTCGATGATTTCTCAACTCCCTCTCTATTTAGGCCTTTTGTAAGTGGATCCAACACATTATCTTTTGACTTCACATAGTCAATTGTGATAATTCCACTAGAGAGTAGTTGTCTCACAGAGTTATGTCTTCGTCTTATGTGACGAGACTTGCCGTTATACATAATGCTTCCAACCCTTCCTATTGCAGCTTGACTATCACAATGTATGCATATAGGGGCCATTGGTTTGGGCCAAAATAGAATATCTTCTAAGAAATTCCGGAGCCATTCAGCTTCTTCACCTGCCTTGTCTAAAGCAATGAATTCAGACTCCATTGTAGAGCGAGCTATACATGTTTGTTTGGATGATTTCCAAGATATTGCTCCTCCACCAATTGTAAAAACGTATCCACTTGTGGATTTTGTTTTAGTTGACCCAGTAATCCAATTTGCATCACTATATCCTTCAAGAACGGCTGGATATCTGTTGTAATGTAAAGCATAGTTTTGAGTGTCATCTAAGTATCCCAAAACTCTCTTCATTGCTAACCAATGATTATGATTAGGATTACTTGTGTATCGACTCAGTTTACTGATAGCACAAGCTATGTCTGGTCGTGTACAATTCATGACATACATTAAGCTTCCCAATACGCTAGCATAGTCCAATTGAGACTGACTTTCGTCTTTATTCTTTGCAAGATAAAGATTTACATCAATTGGAGTCTTTGCCCTTTTAAAATTCAAAAATTTGAATTTTTCAAGTATCTTTTGAATATAATGAGTTTGAGACAATGCTAGACCGTTAGGAGTTTTAAGAATTTTAATTCCTAATATCATATCAGCAACTCCTAAATCTTTCATATCAAACTTACTAGCAAGCATACGCTTTGTAGCTTTTATATTAGCAATGTATTTGCTCATTATAAGCATATCATCTACATATAGGTATAAAATAACTTCCTGATTTGGAGTATCATTAATGTAAACACATTTATCACATTCATTGATCTTAAATCCATTTGACGACATGGTTTGATCAAACTTTGCATGCCATTGTTTTGGTGCTTGTTTTAGCCCATAAAGTGACTTAATAAGTTTGCACACTTTCTTTTCTTTACCAGGAACTACAAAACCCTCAGGTTGTTCTATGTAAATTTCCTCTTCAAGCTCTCCATTTAAGAAGGTTGTTTTCACATCCATTTGATGAATTTCAAGACCGTATACTGCAGCTAGTGCAATTAACATCCGAATTGATGTAATCCTAGTCACTGGCGAATATGTGTCAAAATAATCAAGACCTTCTTTTTGTCTAAAACCTTTGACAACAAGTCTTGCTTTATATTTGTCAATAGTTCCATCGTCTTTCATCTTCCTTTTAAAGATCCATTTTGAACCCAAGGGTTTGTTCCCTGGAGGAAGATCAACCAACTCCCAAGTATGATTGCTTAAGATTGATTCAATTTCACTATTAACAGCCTCCTTCCAAGAGGTTAAGTCGCTAGACAACATTGCTTCCTTGAATGTTTGAGGCTCATTTTCAACAAGAAATGTTACAAAATCTGATCCAAATGAAGTAGATATCTTTTGACGTTTACTGCGTCTTGGACTTTCTTCATTTTGTTCATTCTCTTTTGGTTCTTCTCTGGGTTGTTTAGATCCCCCACTAGATGACTCAAGTCTAGTTTTATACGGATAGATATGTTCAAAAAATTCAGCACTATCTGATTCCATTACCGTATTATCATGAATATCCGGATGTTCGAACTTATGAACCAAAAAACGACATGCCTTACTGTTTGTGGCATATCCAATGAATACACAATCCACAGTCTTAGGTCATATTTTTACCCTCTTAGGTATAGGAACTTGGACTTTGGCTAGACACCCCCACACTTTGAAATATTTCAAATTGGGTTTTCTACCTTTCCATTTTTCATATGGAATTACATTTGTCTTTGAGTGAGGCACTCTATTAAGTATCAGATTTGCTGTAAGGATAGCTTCCCCCCACAAGTTCTGTGGTAAACCTGAACTTATAAGTAATGCATTCATCATTTCTTTTAAAGTTTGATTTTTTCTTTCTACAATTCCATTAGACTGAGGAGTGTAGGGAGCAGTAGTTTGATGGATTATTCCATTTTCTAAACATATTTCTGCAAATGGAGATTCATATTCTCCACCTCTATCATTTCTGATTATTTTAATCTTTTTATCTAACTGATTTTCAACTTCAGTTTTATATTGCCTAAATGCATCTATTGCTTCATCCTTACTATTTAGCAAATAGACATAACAATATCTAGTGCAATCATCAATAAAAGTTATGAAATACTTTTTCCCACCACGTGATGGTGTTGACTTCATGTCACAAATATCAGTGTGAATCAATTCTAAAGGATTTGAATTCCTTTCAACAGATTTATAAGAATGCTTAGCATACTTAGATTCAACACAAATTTGACATTTTGATTTATTGCACTCAAATTTTGGCAAAATATTTAAGTTAATCAGTTTTCGCAAGGTTTTGTTATTAACGTGTCCCAAACGTTCATGCCATAAACATTTAGACTCAAGCAAGTAAGAAGAAGCAAAATCTTTATTCATATCAACTGCAATTACATTGAGTTTGAAAAGGCCATCACTAAGGTAGCCTTTTCCTACATACATATCATTTTTGCTTACTACTACTTTATCAGAAACAAATACACATTTAAATCCATTCTTGGTCAGAACTGGAATTGAAACTAAATTCTTTCTCAATTCTGGAACATATGAGACCCTATTCAAAGTCACCACCTTGCCTGATGTCATCTTTAATAGGACTTTGTCAGTTCCTTCCACCTTTGCAACAGCGGAGTTTGCCATAAACAATTTTTCATCTGTAAGTGCTGGAGTATATGATGAAAATAATTTTTTGTTGGCACAAACATGGCATGAGGCACCAGAATCTATCCATCATTCTCTTAGATTTCCAACCAAGTTACATTCTGAAAGCATTGCACAGAGATCATCCATTTCTCCTTTGGATTCAACCAAATTTGCTTGATCTTTCTTTTTCTTGTCCTTCTTAGGACCCCGACATTCATTAGCCTTATGACCATGTTTACCACAATTAAATCAGTTTTCATTGAATTTCTTCTTAAGAGGATTGCTTTTTGGACCAGATGCTTTCTTTCTTTTCTTTAATTTTGTGGAATCTTCTTCAACAAAATTTACTCCAGATATTGTTGAATTACCACGTGACCTCTTTTCTGCAGCCTTATTATCCTCTTCGATTCTCAACCTTACTATGAGATCTTCAACAGTCATCTCCTTGCGTTTGTGTTTCAAGTAGTTTTTAAAGTCCTTCCACAATGGAGGTAACTTTTCAATAATTGCAGCCACTTGAAAAACATCATTCACAATCAATCCTACATTAAAGGTTATGTGATTATTAAGGGAAAACTTAATATTTCTAACATAGGCATTAAATAAATTTATACCTTCAGCAAGGAGATCATGGATTATGACCTGCAATTCTTGAACTTAGGTGACGACAGTCTTACTGTCTATCATCTTAAAGTCCAGAAATTTTGCCACAATGAATTTCTTCATTCCGGCATCTTCTGTTTTGTACTTCTTTTCTAAAGCATCCCAGAGTTCTTTTGAGGTTTTTGCATTGCTGTACACATTGTACATATCATCTTGCAGACCACTCAAAATATAATTTTTACACAAAAAATCTGAGTGTCCATGCTTCTGTTACCAAGAATCGTTCATCAGCCGGAGTTTCATCTGACATAACAGGAACATTCTCATTGATGAACTTCTGCAGACTCAACGTAGTGAGATAGAAGAACATCTTTTGGTGCCATCTCTTAAAGTCGACTCCCGAAAACTTTGCAGGCTTATCAGCCGGTGCTAAGGCAGCATTTGAACGATTATGTGCAACCGTTGTTGTTGCAGCACAAACTGTTCCAGCATTTGTTTGACTTGAATTAGTCTTTTTTTTCTGTCACAAATGGCAGATAAATTAAGTATTTAAAATACTAACAGTAAAGAACAAATCTTTACACAAACTGTTTCTGATTTAACGATAAAGTTTTTATGTTCTTTTAATCGTTAATCGAATGAATTTTAAAAGTTCAAGCAGAGTAGAAAACCATAAAGGTTTTAATCTCCAGAAACCTCAAATACAGAAACTGTTAAATTTCTTAAGATTGTTATTCTTACAATAACTTGTATTTATAAAGTTAATAAACAGAAACAGAAACAGAAATAAGATGAAGCAGAATATAGAATACAAGAATTAATCCGAGTCCACAGAAACTACTGTGTGTCCTTAAGAAATTTAATCCCCTTACTGTACCCAAGGTTATGGATTAATTTCTCCCAAGATAAAATGGATTAAACCTGTTAAAGAAATAACAGTACCTCAAACTTCTTTAACTTCAACGAATTGAAGAACAGCAACAAGTCACACAGACTCAGTCGATCGACACTTTGATTTTATTTGAGAGAAAAATAAATGCAGAGAAAGAAAAAAAATTTAGTGATTAAAAAATCAAAAATTGACTTCCTTTTATAGCCATTTTCAGCAAGGAACATGTCTGTTCAGTGAAATCTGTTCAGACCCATTTTATCCAGAAAGTTGTGTCTTCTGGAAAAAATAACAACTTTTCAAAAAATTGTGTCTGTTAGGAAAATAACTACTTTTTGGAAAGTAATGACTTTTCGAAAAGTAACGACTTTTCGGAAAGAGTAACAACTTTTCGGAATGTTACCGTTACCTGCAAATTTATAAGAAATGACTTTTCATTTGCACTTTGCAAATGACTTTTCATTTTCTCTCCAAAGTAGTTCCCTCACTTTTGATATTTTCTCTTTTCTTTTCCCATTCACACTTGCTAAAACCCAACACTTCCAACCTATACTTATAAAGTATAAAAAAGTATGGGGTTAGTACAAACATTGTACTAAGTATGACCTATACAAAATCATGCAAAAAGGGAAATTTTAGAATAAACATACAAGTCATGTTATTTTGATAAAACCTTCATGAATCAAGTTACAAGACATCATTTAAAATCATCATTTAGCACATAAAGCAAAAATTCATTTTTCTTAACATAAGAACATACTTACAGTGAACCCACTTAAAACTAACTCTTCCTATCCCAAGTTATCTTAAGACTCACTTAGGTAAGACATGAAGGAACCGCCCATACAATCTCTTCACTACACACCCAAGTGATTCTTAATACTACCAAGGATAAGCATACTTCATTTCATTTAATAAGTCGACATTCAATACTAAAGACACTAGAGGAACATACTTGCATTAAGGAAAAATTCACATAAGTACCCCTCTCAAGTGGATTTACAAGTCACACAATGTGCAATGTGAGAGTAGCATCCCATACTACTACCCCCACAATGTGTTCCCTGAGGATTCCATAAGGTTAGATACATCCTTACCACATTCATAACTTCATTTACATAACTTTCATCAACATTAGACATAAGACTTTCATGCTTAATGAACATAGACATAGAATAAACATACATCATAAACATTAAACATAGAGTCACATTACTCCATAAATCTTAGACATATGATCATCATGATTCTTTCATCATATAATGACCCATTCATACCTTTCATAAACGGACACATAAAGACTCCCCTTTCAAGTTCCTACTTATGCAACGGGATAGATAGTGTACCATACCACCACCATCCCTAAGCAATACACTCTTTAGAATACTAAGTTCATTACATTTTTTTGTGGGGGATAGATTTAATCGACATAGATCATGAGAGATAAACATGGAATTCCGGTACTACCCTTACTGGATGAGGGATTTCTACTTTCCTAAGGTAGGGTCATTCTTTTAGCCTTTACGTGGAGTCCCCAATAGTTATACCTATGCGGGTGCATAGTTAAGGGATAAGAAGATTTCTTCTAAGTAATCACTCTCTACTCACAAGGAGTACTCATCTCAAGAGGTACATTGGGTACAACATCTCTTCTCACAACTTGTACTCACCCCTTCTTCAAATCTTCTCGGTGCTAAACATAACTCCGTCACTTCTTACACATTCATTACTATAGGTTAAGGAATACTTGTTGGATACCACATATCTGCTCACAACGGGCATCCATCCTCTAACCTATCTTAAAAAACTCTTGGGAGATAGTGCGGTTGCTATTAAACACTTCATCTCAATTCACAACGACTGTTCACCACAAAGCTCCCCTTTTCATTCATTTCATCTTTTAGGAAGAGTAAGGCAAGGTATAGACACTCCATCTCTACTCACAACGAGTGTCCACCCTATAGTCCCCCATTCACATTCATTAGCTTCATTCATTCATTGTGTGTGTGAAGCACACCTTTCATACAAACACCATTCTCATATAATTAACATCTAGACATACTTATACTTTCATTCATCATAATTCACACACTAGCATGATTACATGAACATACTTGTCACTTAGACATAATATAATCAAGATGAACATTTCAATCTTCTAAGACATTTCATGCTTAAAACATCATAATCATCATTTCACTTCACATCATATTCGTTCAAGGACACATTCAAAATACACACATCTTTACAATATAATCATGAACTTCAAGTAAACACCGCCCATCAAAGGTGGACCATACCACTCAAGAGTATTTCACAATAGGATTAAACAATATATCTAACTTACCCTTCATCCAAGCTTTCAACACCTATTCACAATTTATTTAATAATTCATCATAAATTAGACCTTAGGTAAGTAGCTAAAAACAATGGAACCATCAAGAAACCATAACTTTAACATTTCCTGATCATGCTTATTAAACCCATTTCATAAGTTAAAAGTTGATAAAAAGCATAAACATGATTCCATTGGGGTTTTGACACTAAAATAATCACTTAACACTAAGAACAACCCATTTTAATCATTAAAACATTTCCATACAAAGACCCATACTTAGAGTCAAAGAACAAAGAAGCTGGAGTTGGAAAACCCTTTTTGAAATCTCTTTGAATGGGCTCCTTGAATAAGAGAAGAGTCAAGGATGAACTTATATACCTTAACATGAGTAAATCCACGAGATTTGGTGAAGAAAACGTCCACAACCTTCAACCCTAGCTCCACCTTGAGTTCTAGCTCCAATGGAGTTTGGGAGAGCTTTTGGGAAAGAAGAACTTTTGAGGGTTTTGAAATTTTGATTTCTAAATGAGAGTTTGGGGTTTTTAGTTGGGGGAATGGGTGTATAATGAACTAATATCAGTATATAACACCCCCTCAAAATACCCAAAACACCCCTACATTGATTGGACCACTTAGACAAGTCAAATATCACTTAATTTTTCAAAATTCCTGTCGGGGAACAAGTCCGCGTCGCGGAGCTCTCCCACTAAGCTTTGGAAATTATTTTTGGACTGAGAAGTGGGCGATCTGGGCGCGACGTGCCTGTGTTTCACCAAGGCATAAATCCTGCTACCTTGGGCGGCTTGCTTGGCCAAAGTTTGGGTCCTCCTCTGGGACCCTTTGGGTGTTCCCCGAGAAGTCGGACCAAGAAGTTTTGACCCTAAACATGTCCCTATAGGTTACTGGGTCATCCCTACTAGTTTTTAGACTCCAAAAAATACACATAAACTCATACAACATACAAGGACACACTAGCGCACACACAAGGCTAGTTTCCGAATGTCTTGGTCGTTTCTTGACGTTTGACTTCCGAACTTCACCAACTGACTTCTAATGCTAAAATTCATCATTTTAAATCATTATTGACTTATGGAAACACATGTGAATATCTAGTTTGACCTACTTCATTTTGAGGGTGTAACAAGCATTTTAGGTGAGAGTAATTAGGTTTAACTTTAAAAAGCACTTCAAAAGGTGTTTTGTGTTATAGTATAGAAGGATATCTGTAAATGAGATAGGTGGCAGTCAATAAAAAGTCCCCCCAATAAATCATAGGTAAATGGGATTGATACAACAAGGCTCTTGAAGTTTCAAGCAAATGCTTGTGTTTCCTTTCCACTATACCATTTTGTTGTGGAGTGTAAACACAAGTAATTTGATGGATTATCCCTTTGGAGAGAAAAAAATCAGAATGCATTTTTCCAACCCCTAATTCAAAAGCATTGTATATTCTAATTATCTTGATTTGAGAGTTAAATGGTCTCTCAACTACAGAAATAAAAGATTTAAGTATAGAGAAAGCATTGGATTAAGAACTAAGAATATAAGTCCATGTAGACCTACTAAAATCATCAATAATGGTCAAAAAAATACTTGAAACCATCATGTGTGGGAGTGTTATAAGGACCCTAAGTATCAACATGTACTTAATCCAAAAACTGATTTAGTAGAAAGAACACTCTTAGGAAAAGGTAATTTAGATTGTCTTGTCATGGGACAAATAATACTAGGAGAGGAAGATCTGGAACATGACAAAGAAGCTGGAGCTACATTGTTCATATTACTCAAAGGCATATGGCCTAATCTACAGTGCCATAGCTTTTCTTTTACATTTGAATTAAAAAAAAACTAGAACATGAAGTAAAAGCATTTGCAACAGAATTGGAAGAACATAAACTAGATAGACTTTTTGTGGGGAGAACTTCTGGATCACCATGACTGAGAATAAAAAGTCTATTAGAAACTGCTTGTTGAATAGACTTGAAAATGTATAGACCTCCTTATTCCTTACCAACCTCCAGAGGTCTCTTCGGTGAAGGGCCCTGCAACATAAAATATTTGTTAGGAGTAAACAAAGAGAATTTATGAAACAGTTTGCTCAGTTTGTGAATAGACAAGAGATTACAGTTGAAAGATTGAATATAGAGGCCATTGTGAAGAATTAAATTAGGTAAGAGTTTCACAGATCCCGAATGAGTCACAGTAGCTCTATGTGAATTAGGAAGAGTAGCCAAAATAGGTTTAGGCAGATTTTGTTAGAGGTTATATGCTCAGAAGCTCCACTATCTAAAATCCATGAATTACTGCCAACTTTAAACAGAGAAACATTTGGATTGCATAACTTGGGCATAACTGCAAATATCTTCTCTTTTTGCAATAGTTACACATGAGATTGTTTTTTCTTAGAAAAATTCCCGTACTGAGATTTATATTCATCAGACCTCCTATTTCCTAAATTCCCAACAGACTCTGTTGGATAGTTAGGATTTCTCTCTGTTTTTCATCTTGAGTTACTAGAGAATAAGTCTGACCAATGGTAGAGAGAGGGGAAGACAAGAGAATGTTACTACTTCTAAACCCAATGAAAGTATCATTTAAACCTACTATTTATTCTACTAATTTGTTTGTGTGTCATCTTGAAATTTTCTTTTACTCCTTCCTCAGATACTTCCATTTTCCCCTTGGAAACCCCTTCATTATTCTTTATTACTTCATGACTTGAATTTACAATAAAAAATTAGTGGTGGAAGGTGCCACAATCCCTATTAATTTGTAATTTTCATCTATAGTGAGTTTTAATGCTCACTACTTTTATTTATTTTATAGAATTGATTTTTTAATTACCAAAAAACAACTTCGTGAGCCAACTTTTTTCTAATATAAATCTGAATATATTTAACACTACAACCAAACTATCACAATTAAGGATATTAACGTTCCATTAAACATACAAATATTAAGACGAAATTGCATCATGTCATATAAAAGAATTCATCACAAATCACTCACATTAATCAACTAATCATGTTATCATACATAATACATCAATTAAAAGAAATCTTAATGGTTGCCATTGGAATTGCTAGAGTTAATTAAAAGATCTTGTTGCATCTTCACTTGGCGGCGGCAAATATAAAAAACAAAATAAAGTTATGCTCAGAGAGAGTGTTCTTACGATGGAAGATATTTTTCATGAAAAAAAATAAAATATATATATATATATATATATATATATATATATATATATATATATTAAAAAAATTCTAGGAGCATAAATAGATTCTAATAAGTTATAGTGATGTGTTCGTCTGTTCGATATATAGATAAATAATAATATTTTATAAGTATTTGTATATAATCTAGATAATACTATGTGAAGTGGAGGTGGACACGGAGGTAGTAGTGTGGGGTGGTGAAGATTGGGGCTATGGGGTGGGTGTGGAGATGATGTATGTTGAAAGATGGGGATTGGAGGATACTACTAATATAGGACGCCTACTTATGTAATTTATTTTCATTAGAGAGTAATTTTTTTAATTTTAAGAAATTTATTTTTCTAGAGAAAATATTTTAATTTTTTTTTATCAACTGAACATGAAAAAATCGTAAAAAATATTTCCTTCCATTTACAAAGATAACATCTTAGAGACGATGTACCGAATGAAAGAAAATTTTGAGTCACCACTATACCAACATGAGAAAATACATAACAAGATGTCCATTGGATCCTAAGTGCATACTTATCTATTATTGTTTTACCTAAATATTTGCTCCGTCTCATTTTGTATGTTATCATTTTCTATAAATAATTGGTTCATAATACTTATCACTCAATGCATAAATAATTATATTGTTCTGTTTTTACCATATGGGTTATTAACCTTAAAAATATATATTTGATCGACTTAGAAAATTTAAATGATTCATGTTCACTGGTTAAATTAATTAATCAAAATAAATTATTTCTTATTCATTGATTGAAAATTTAAATATGGGATGACATATAAAATGAGACGGAGAAAATAATAAAGAATATATTAATCATGGCATCACATCAATTTGAAATCATAAAGCCTCCTTATGTAATCAAACTTTAATTGAAAATTATTCTTGTTTTCATGGATAGATGAACATATATAGACTCAATCAATGCCGTGATTTGTTCCATCAATTACTATAAATAGTTCAATGATTTCACTTTTTCAACAACCTTCAAAGTGACACTTGTCTTGGGGTAACATAACAGCTACCATAATGCATTATTTGGAAGTTCAAAAAGGCTTATAAATATTCCTTACTAGTGAAAAAAATATTTATAAATATTCTTATTTCGCCTTTTGATTTAAATATATATTCCTAATTTTTTTTTTTTGACTTGACAATACTTCTAATTTATTGAAAATAACTCAAAAATATTCTTCCTCTTTAACATTTTAGTCTAAAATACTCGCAACCTTTATTTTTGGTTAAAAACAACCCATTTCACTTTTTAGTATAAAAAATGTCATCAACATGCTATATGTTTATATCTAGTGAAAATTAGGTATATAACATTTTATATAGTAATATTCTCAAGCTATAGCATTAGAGTTTAACTTTCAATATATAACATTTAATATATCAAGTTATAACATATTATTATAAATTAAAGATTGATTTTAAATAATTGAAAATATTCATTTTTTTAAAAAAAGAAAAATAAATAAATTATGTTTATGTTTTTATATGGAAAATAGCAACGATCGTTGTGATTATAAATAATAATTTAATGATAGATTATAACTAATTAGTATATATTAAGGAATTCAAAAAAAAATTATTTTATTCAGTTTTCTTAAAACTCTCAATTAAATTGAAATTAAATTAAATTCTAATTTGATTTCTTAAAACGCTCAAATAATTTGAAATTAAATTAAAATACATTTTTTTCCTCTATCGTGTTTCTCTCTCTTGTTTGCAGATTGCATTTTTAATTTTTTTTGGTGATTGAAGATATTTTATTGTGGGAAAAACGTGATTTGTAGTGATGGACAACAACATATCCATATTAATTAAACATGGTAGAAGGTGAAATCCGTCAGGGTGGTATTTATTATAGTTTGTTGGTTTGTTTTTGATAATTTTCTTCTTTATACAGTTTATGGTGTTTTCTGTTTCACAAAGCTTATTGATATGTACCATATTTGCAACAACATGAAACAGTATAGACGTCTTTGTTTATTAAAATTGAAAATTCAATTAATACGTGTTTTTAGGAAAGATAAAAAAAATGAATAATGATGACTTAATTTACTAGTAAAAAAAGCAAATGAAATTGATATTACAGTGTGTTTAGTAACGTGCAAGAAAGAATTATTTATAACATGGTGGATCATTGTTGTATGACATTTGTATTAAATGTGTATGAAGAGTGAGTTTTTTGTTTCTAAGAATTTTGTTTTGAAGACCATTGTTTTTTATGTTTTTTTATGATAGGAATTGTGAAATTTCTTTTTTCTATGAAGTATTTTTTTGAATAACAATTTCTGTATGAAGTGTGTATGAGGTTTGGATCCTTTTCGTAAGGAAACTAAAGAGCAATTTCAATATGGTACATGATGATGAAAGGTATATTAATTATGTATGAAATTTGTATCCTTTTCGTATGAAGTATGTTTAGAATAATAATTTCTGTATAATAATTCATGATGAAAGTTATATTAACTGTGGATGAAGTGTATATAAAATTGTGAAATTTGTATTAAGTGGATATGAAATATGAAAAATTTTATTGCACTTAATTTATATTATGGTATACTAATTGTTATTTTATTGTAATGAAACAGAGAAATATGTTGATTTCAATATGGAGGGGATCATATATTACGCGTCTAGTATATATAGTGGTCTAGTAAATGCGATAACATCGCAACTTAATACAGATGTTAATATAAGCGCTATTGAGATAAAATATATGGTTAGAGATATGTGTCCACACGTTAGTATTCACAATGATGTTGAGGTGATGACTTTTTTAGATCAAAAGACAGCTAATTTAGATTTATTTACAAAATATCCATTGTGCATCACTTTGAAAGATTTAGAGATGTGTAATCAAGATTCTGTAGTTGTTACAGATAGGAGACATTCTGAAGTTAGTATAATACAAACTAACGTTGATTTATACTCCAACAATTTCATCCATTTGATACGAGTGAATTTAGACGGAGATGTCGATAAGAATACTGAAGAAGATAATGATGTAATAAGTGACCATTCTAACTTATTTGTAGCTGAGAATCAGATTTACAAATATAGGGAAATACTTAAGGAGGTGATCAAGCATGTTGGAGCTGTCGAAAAATTTAATTTTCGTGTATCGCGTTGTAATGCATCTAAGTAAGCACACATCATTATTTTAATTTGTATTTTTTTAATTGATTTTGGTATATAAAATTTAAATATATCTTTTTTTATCTGTGAAACAGTTATTACCTGACATGTCGTTTTGATACATGCTCCTAGATGATGAGATCATCGTGTTTGAATAAATAAAATTTATTCAAAATCAGGAAGTACAATGCTGAACACACATGTTTTGTTAGAGATAGAGTGTATGCAAGGCGTTAGGGGTTAACTGACGTTGTAGCTGTCTTAATAATGGAGAAGTATATTGATCCATCTACCCTATACACTCCAAACGATATAGCAAAGGATATGTTGAAGTTGCATGGTATTTCATTAACATACATACAGGCGTGGAGAGCTTAAGAAAAAGTGATAAAATTGGTGCACGGAGATTCGGCTAAATCATATGTCAAACTATCAGGTCATTTCGATGTAAATTATGAACTAAAATGTTTTGAATTATAAAAATGAAAAAAAAAAAAACTAGCATGCAGTTTGTTTTCTGAATGAATTGAAATTGTGTGTTTAATATCATTGATGTATCATTTTTATATGCTTTTTGTATGTTACTTTAGTTAATTAGGTATTATAGTTTGTATCTTTTTTGCATCAATTAAGTATTCTTTTTGTATCCATTCAGTTATATATGTGATGTTATTTTTATAGTATTAAAATATCTCATTATATAATTATAAAAATTTCAGGTTATCTATACATATTGGAGCAAATATATGCTGGATCGATTTTGAAAATAGAAAGCAAGAAATGTGATGAATTTTTATACGCATTTGTTGCATTAGAAGCATGTATTAGAGGCTAGGAGTATTGTAGGTCAATTGTAGTTGATGGGGCAACTTTAAAATGTTCATATGGTGGTACAATGTTTACTGCATGCACCATGGATCCGAGAGGTAGTTTTCTATCCCATATATTTTTATACTTATATATTATAATAAAATATGATATAAACTATGTTTTCAATTTGTGTGATATTTTTTTTTTAAAATGCATCATATACTTCCGTTGGCATATACAATAGTGGATTCTGAAAATGACGCTTCATGGGCCTGGCTCTTTGAACACTTTAGGAAAGCATATGGAGTTGGACAAAACATCTATTTTATGTCAGATCGAAAGGAGAGCATATGAAAAAAAACTGCTACCCAAATCTGAACATTATGCTTGCATATGACACCTATGCTGTAATGTGT